AGTATAGCAGGGATTGTGGGGCTGGCGCGGGATCGGGCAGTGTTTCGTTCTGCTGTGCATGGGGTCGCTATGAGTCGGAAACGACTCGATTTCACTTAACAACAACAACAACAACAACTCCTCAAAACTGTCAAGGTCATGAAAAGCAAGGAAGGGCAGAAACCTTCAGAGACCAGAGGAGACTAAGAAGACATGATGACTAAAGGTAATATGGTATCCTGGAACTGAAAATAGACATTTGTTGTTGTTGTTGTTGTTGTTATGTGCCCTCGAGTCGGCCCCGATTCATAGCGACCCCTCCTTGGGTTTCCAAGGCAGTATCACTAAGGAAGTAGGATTGCCCAACCTTCCTTCCGAGGAGTGGCTGGTGGGTTTGAACCGCCAGCCTTCTGGTTAGCAGTCAAGTGCTCTAGCCACTATGCTACCAGAGCTGCTGAAAATAGACATTAGTGGGAAAAATTAGTTAACTCAAATTTAGCTATTAACAACATACCAAAGTTGGTTTCTCAGTTTTCACAAATGTATATAGTAATATAAGATGTTAAAAATAGGAAAACTAAGTGAGGAATATACTTGAACAGTCCGTACTATCTTTGTAATTTTTCTGCAAACTTAAAATCATTCGAAAATAAAATGTTTAAGTAAGCAGAAGAACGTTTTGTGACCTGAGGAATATGATACAAAACCACAATCCATAAAATAAAAACTGATCAACTGAATTTTATCAAATTTTAAAACTTTTGTTCTGGAGAAAGCACTGCTAAGAGAGTAAAAATATAAGGTACAGCTGGAAGAAAATACTTGCAAATCATATATTTGAAAAAGGACTTGTAACTAGAATATATAAAGACTTCTTTTCAAGACTCAAAAATAACAATCTAATTTAAAAAAAATAGACTAAAGACTTGAAAAGACACTTTACCATAGAGCACATATGATGGGCAAATAAGCACACAAAAAATGTTCATAATTAAAATTAAAACTAAGATGAGATACTGCTATACATCTATTGGAATAGCTAAAATTAAAAACGACAATATGAAGTGGATGAGGAAGATGGAGAACAACTAGAATTCTCATACTAGTTGTTCCAGAGTGGTGGGATGCCACTCTGGAAATCAGTTTTGCAGTTTCTTTCAAAGTTAAACATACACTTTGCACATGACTTAGCTATCCTGTTGTTGTTGTTGTTGTTGTTATGTGCCGTCGAGTCGGACCCAACTCATAGAGACCATTCCTTGGGTTTCTGAGGCAGTATCACTAAGGAAGTAGATTGTCCAACCTTCCTTCCAAGCAGTGGCTGGTGGGTTTGAACTGCCAGCCTTCTGGTTAGCAGTCATGTGCCTTAAGCACTATGCTACCAGAGCTCCTTTAGCTATCCTACTCTAGGTTATTTCCCAAGTGAACCAAAAACCTATTTTCACACAAGTCTGTACATGAATATTTATAGCAGCTATTCATAACTACAAAAACTGGAAACAATCCTAACTTCCAACAAAGGAATGAATAAACAAATTGGTATATCCTTACAATGCAACTTTATTCAGCCAGCAATAAAAAGGAACTACTAATGCAACTACTTCAAAGGATCTCAAACGCATTATGTAAGTGAAAGAAGCCAATCTCAAATGATTATGTACTACACAAGTCCATTTACATGACATTCTTGAAAAGACAAAACTACAGTGACAGAGAACACGGTGACTGCCACAGATTATGAGGATGTGAGGAGGGTATTACTACAAATGGACACCATGAAAGAGTTTTGGGTGGTTAGAGAGTTGTTCTGTGTTATGTTTGAGGTGGTAGTTACAAAAATCCATATAATTCACAAAACTATTCATCAATTTACTGTACGTTTATTTAAAAAAAAATTTTAAGCAAATAGAAAGATCTTAAAAAAACTACTGACAAGTGATTTATATTAATACACAGAAAAATTTCATTTATTCATTCAACAAATATTTCTTTAACCATGGACTATATGCCAGACAGTTCTGGAAAATATACATAAAAAGCTGAACAGAGATTCTCTAACAGTATTCAGATTTTTAAAACCAACTCTGAGCCATTATGTTACTTAATCCTTACAATAACTTTAAAAGGTACATATTATTTATTTTCTTGACTTTACCAAGGGAGAAATAAACTCAGAGAAATTAAGTAACTTGTCCCAAGTTGCAGAGATATTAAACTAGGAATTAAGCATGTCTGTCTAATTCAGTGCCTGGCTCACTCAACAGTATGTGTTCAATTAATGTTGCATAAATAAATGTATACAAAGTCCATGTTCTATATCATCATGTGCCTTCCCATATATTCAATTATGTTAACTGTAATTATTCTCATTTTAAAAGATCAAAAGAGACTCTAGAAGGATTTAAATAATTGATTATTTAATGTATTCAGTGTATATATATATTTCTTGTTTAAATCGCTCAAATTCACAGCTTTTAAATGATCACATTAAAATAACAGGAATTGTTATGAAACATTATCCAGTTTATACTCACAAATAATTTTCCATTTTTTGTAAATGTGTCATAGTCTACTTACTAAAGTAATCACAGTGAAATGAAGAAGCAGACAAAAACACAGATATAAGCATTTTCCTTTCCTTAACAGATTCTTCTTTAATGAACATTTCAAAAATACCAACCCACACCAACTCAACAATTTAAAACCAGTATATGAACTTTCATTAACTAGGTTTCCTTTCTTGACCAAATACTCATACTTAGTGGTGGCATATTTTAATGCCTTTCCTTGACCCTCCCCCCAATAAAAAAAGTTCAGATACATTTTGAATAACTGATAAAGATGGAAGAGACCTTTTAAATGTGATACATCTCTTACATTAATATACCACCTTCACAATTTAGACACAAATGAGTTTTCATTTTGTCGTATAACCAGAAACCAATTTCCATGGAGTTAATTCCAATCCATGGTGACCCCATGTGTGTCAGAGTAGAACTGTGCTGTATAGGGTTTTCAATGGCTTATTTTTCAGAAGTAGGTCACCAGGCTTTTCTTCCTAGGCACCTGTGGGTGGACTTGAACTTCCAACCTTTTAGTTAGCAGCTGCGTGTGTTAACCATTTGCACCATCCTATACGTATAGTTTATTTTATTTCAGTTCAATTTCCAACAGTAAGTATCCACTGTTCTATTCTAGTTACGTGTTCTATGCTAGTCATCAGATATATAGCTAGGCACTACTCAAGATTATGAAACATACGGTGCAGAAAGGAGTTAACAGCAGGCCACTATCCTGCTACTGTTATCCTTAAAGAAGTCTGCTTATGAGGTTGACCCTCAACTGGTTTCTGGGAACTTGGATTTTAGAAGGATTCTCACCATTTCAGCCAAAGGTTTCTCATTCTGATGTCAGTGGCTAATTGTACCGAAACTGTACAAAAAATGTGGTTTATGCTGAACATCTAATCTGCTTTCCTTCTAGAGTCAGAAATTTTGATATGTGCAAATCAGAGAGTGCCCACATGAGTAGCTCCCTGGGCACTGATCATTTAACAAGCTCTCTTGGGTAGACATTTCACATGTACTGTCACACTCGTTGCTAGGGGAGTTAAGTGTGTCCTATGTGACTCCACTGGGAAGGAACTCTTAGAATCTTACACTGGTTTCCTTTGGACTTCACCCCATGCATATTTTCCCTTTGATGATTTTGCTTTGTATCCTTTCACCATAATAAATCTTAGTAGTAAGTATGAATATATGCTGAGTCTTCCTAGCAAATCATTGAACCTTGGAGTGCTGGTGGTGGGGTGGGGAGGGCAGTGATCTTGGACCCTACCCAAAATATACTAAGAAGACCTGAGTAAAATATATACATACCATCTCACCAGGCAATGTGCTCTTGGAGGAAAGTCATTGTTCATGCACAGCAAATCTTGCATAGATTGTGGAATAACATCTATAAAAACATTTGGTAATAAAAAAAAGTTAGTATATGTGCTAGTTGGAGCTGTGTGTTAACTTGGCTAGAACACAATTCTGAGTGGTGTAAGCAGTTGTGATGAGGGTTACTCATCACAAATGAAAATGGTGATCACAGGAAAGAAATGGTAAAAGTGTTGTTACAAAACAAAAGGTTTATGAAAAGTTGAATGGAAAACCAATTCACTTTATAAACTTTCGCTCAAATCACAATAAGAAAGTATATTATATATATACACACACACACATACGTATATAATCTTCTGACCTCTAATGATACAGGTTACTCCCATGATGTGATTGGATGTGCATGTTTTGAGCAGCCAATCCACTGAAAGGGAGTTTCCTTAGGGGTGTGGCCTACTTCCAATATATTTATGGACATCCTGGGAAAACGAGACACTCTTCCATGGATCGGGATTCTGTTGTGCTGCCTACAATCTTCCATGAGCGAACAATTCACCATTCAGCCTGGAGATCTTGGATTCATCATTCATAGCAGTCAACAGCCAATATACTGCCTGCCAACCTTGAGCTCATCAGCCCCTGCAGCTGTGTGAGTCAGGAAAAGCCTCCAGCTTGACATATGACCCAAGAACCTGGGACTCGCCAGCTTCTGTAAGTGTGTAAGCCATTTTCCTAAGATAAATCTCTCTTTTTCTATATGTATATATAAGCTTTACTGGTTTTGCTTCTCTAGAGAACGCAGTCTAGCACAGTATATTCAGTCTAAGGCAGAATTTTATAATAAGCTTTCAGGGAACATGTCTTTGCAATTGTTTAAAGATTTATATGTAGGACTATCTCTGAGATTTGGAAGAGGTATGTGTCTCTCTTTTTTTTTTTTTCTTAAAGAAAGCCAGTCTATAAACAGACATACCATTACTTGTTTTTGCTGTTATTAGGTGCCCTTGTCTATTTCAACTCATACCATCAGGGCCTACATTTATAATAGTATTCTTCCTTCTAAGTCATGATTCAAATGATTCCTCCTCATCCTTATAAGAAAATTTTTTAAAAAATTTATTATTGGTCTACCCTTGTCTCTACTTTTCTTCAGATTTCTAATTGTTGTTGTTGTTGTTATGTGCTGTCAAGTCAGCCCCAACTCACAGCGACCCCTCCCTGGGTTTCCGAGGCAGTATTACTACGGAAGTAGATTACCCCATCTTCCTTCTGAAATTTCTAATTAGAGGTCTGATAACTCTGATAACTGCCATGGGTAGCCTGAAATTTTCTGGCCCTTTGGGTACCCTAAATGTTCTTATAAAACTGCCCAGCTTCCCATTTCTACAGCACTTGAACAGAAGTTCATAGCAAGATCCTAACATGAGTGATCATTATTTATATTTAAAATGCATAATAAATCCAAACTGTAGTGTAAAAGCTGTTCACAAAAAGTTCTTTTTGCTGTACAGCCGTAATTGCTTAGCAAATTCACATCCTGTTAATTTGCTAAAAGAGTAAATGGAAGAATTATAATGCCTCGACTCTCCACTTGATTAAAAACAATAAGCAACTACAACTAAATAGAAGATCAGTGCTCAAATCTTCTGACCTCTGCAAGAGTCACTGGGCCTAGGAGCTAAGGGCCAAAGTCATGGAGGACATCAAGGTCAATTGGCTTAATATAGTTCACAAAGACAATACTACATCCTACCTTGGTGACCAGCAACTGGGGTCTTAAAAGTTTATAAGCAGCCATCTAAGGTGCAACTATTGGTTTCTCCCCATCCAGAGCAAAGAAGAGTAAAGAAAATCAAAGATACAAGGAAACAATTAGTCCAAGGGAACTAACTGAACCCCAGCCTCTATGACCCTGAGACGAGAAGAACTAGATAGTGCTCAGTTACGACTGCCAACCAATCTGAAAGGGATCACAGTAGGAGATCCTGGATAGAGTGGGAGATAAATGTGGAACAAAACTCAAAATCATAAAAAAGATCAAGCTTACTGGTCTGATAGAGAAGGCGGAACTCCTGAAACTATGGCCTTTAAGCCTGGAACTGAATTCATATCTCTGGCTCAACTTTTAGCCAAATGATAGACAGCCCCACAAAATGAACACCACTACCACTTATTAGAATAATCAACCATGTGAGATCAAAAGGGTAGCATTTGCAGGTGATACAGCTCAGAAGACAGGAAAGGATAGGAAAAAAGGACAAATGAAAATGGTGATCACAGGAAGGAAATGGTAAAAGTGTTGTTACAAAACAAAAGGTTTATGAAAAGTTGAATGGAAAACCAATTCACTTTATAAACTTTCGCTCAAATCACAATAAGAAAGTACTATAGATACACACACACACATACGTATATAATCTTCTGACCTCTAATGATACAGGTTTAACAAAACATGTATCTCCAAATTAAGTGAGATGATGGTTTGTCTGTCCTTTCACCATTAGCTACAGCTTAAATCATAACAAAATTTAAAAAACAAGAAACTTCACAGTGTAAACACACATGCAACAATAATTCCTTGCCTATCTTAAAATCATTGATCTCTTGTTTCATCTGTTCATCTCAAAAACACTGATTCTAAGAAGTATTCACACTCTTAAGGCAGTATTCTCATCTTATTGTTCAATGTTTTTGAAGAAAGAAGTTATTACTATACCTTTTCCTTGATGTATGATCTTTCCTCAAATTAATAGCACTTAAAATTTCTCCCTTGAACAGTTTCCTTCATTAACCAGTAGAATGTTGAACCTGGAAATCCTAGGGTTGTATCAGATCTCCCACCAATTGCATACATTTCCTTATTCCCCTTACTCCTAAGATATACATATTCACATTATAGTTTAGTTATTTTATATGTTTATATAAAATAACTATATATGTGTGTGTGTGTGTGTGTATTTTTTTTTTAAGTTGCCCTGGTATAGTCTGCTTCTGTAAGGATTATAGCCTAGAAAACCCTGAGGCAGTTGTACTCTGTCCTGTAGGGTCACCATGAGTTGGAATCAATGATAGCAATGGACGGTGGTGTTTTTCTTTTTTTTAAATATATATATACATAATCACTCCTCATTTATGGATATACTTAGGTTTCAAAGACTAGGTTATTATGTGAAAATGGAGGATGATTATACTAGATTTCAAAATGGAAGATGACTACATGATTACATAACTGCCAAACCACTGAGAATCCTGGTCCAGCCAAGTTGACAATAACATTAGTCAACACAGCCAACATTTCACTTACCTAGCACCTCAGTGTTCATTACTGCCATATGTATAGCGTTAATGTGCAAAATAGTTGGAGAGTAGACTTTTTTACTATTGTTATAAATACAAAACACTGTAAACAAGGTAGTTTTTAAGTGAGAAGTAGGTGTAATTATTTTACCCATGTGTATATATGTTCCATGTTGTCTTAGTTTATCAATCTCAATGCACATGATACCTGTTTATTATTTTCCTTTTTTTTAATCTTACCTCCCACTTCCTCCCAGTGGTTACCCTTTCCCTGTGTCTTTCTTGCCTATGCTTTCCTCCCTTCCTACCTTTCTCCCTGTGCAAATGCTGCCCTTCTGATCTCCAATAGGTTGATTGTTCTAAGGAGTAAATATTCCTGGTGTAGGTGTTCAACTTGTAGGTCTATTTATTGTTTGGCTAAGAGGTAAGCCATGGAAGTGCTATGATTTTGAGTTTTGTTTCACATTTTTCTCCCACTCTATACAGGATCTCCAATTTTGATTGCTTTCCAAGTAGTTGGCATTGGTAGTTGGGTACCATCTAGTTCTGGTCTCTGGCTCATACAGGTTGCTCTTCTCATGGTCCATTAGTCCAATATCTAATTGTTTTGTTTGTGAGAAGAATATACATCATAGAAAAGGTAATATAATTTTATTTCTATATAAGAAAAGACAAATTATTTCAGGCTTATGCTTACAAATGATAATCTATTTTGACCAGAAAAATATTAACACATATTCTTCATATTTATTTTCTAAATGAATAAAGAAAGATATTTGATAGCTCCAAAATTTATGTATTTTTTTCAATGCCTTGTTCACTCACTGTTATACACTAGTATACCTAAGGACCAGATGATTTTGGATAATTTGATCTATTAACAACTACAAGTAACTCTGACTGAGTACCTAGTATGGGTTAGGTACTGGGATGGGGCATATGTATGGTATCTCATTAAATCTTCACATTTCCGTCAAAGTATTATTACTTCATTTTACAAATGAAAGAAATCAGGCTTAGAAAGGACACAATTAGCTAGTAAGTAGAAAAATCAGAATTTTTATCTGCTTGGTCTGACTCTAAAGTTTGGGTGTATACAAAATAAAACACATGTTACTTAATCAAGAGACAAACTTTTTTTTTTTTTTTTAATTCTTTCAAAGTGCAGCTCAAATGCTCCATTCTCCACAACACCTTCTCTGCTTTCTGATAATTAAAAGAGATCTTTCTTCTTTGAACTCCACCAGAACTTTATCTGTTCTTTGAGATGGCGTTTATCACTTTCTACCTCTATTAAGTTATTTACTTATCTCTCCCACTGTTCTGTTTAATTAAGGATCAATAGAGCTTAGAAAAGTATTTAGCAATTGTTTTTTTAAAAGCAAAAAAACATAAGCCTCATGTGCAGAATAGAACTGTACACCACAGGGTTTACAATGGCTATAATCTTCCAAAAGTAGAGCATTAGGTCTTTCTTCTATGGTGTCACTGGGTGGATTAGAACCATCAATCTTTTGGTTAGTAGTCAAGAGCAAATCATTTACACCACCCAAGGACCTTGAGCATATGTTACATACTCAATAAATATGTGCTGAGTTAATTAATCTTAAAGGGAATAACACTATAACTCTTTGAAAAGATCATACTCTAGATGAGGTGAAACAACTCTACATGTGTAAAATGTTTTCAGGTAATATTGCTGAATTAAGAAAATCAAATTCAAACTTAACTCATGATTCAAAATCATAAGCACTTTTAAAAGTGAAGAGTTAAAAAGTTCATAGCAAAACTTACCTTCTAATAATTCGTCCTTTCCTTCTTTATCACTGGATTCTTGTATAAGATAATGATGAGTGACTGAGAACTTGAAATCAGCAAAGGAAATTTCATCTGATTTCTCTTCCCATGTGCCAGAAGTAAATATACCCTATATTTAAAAATAAAACAGAAGCATTATCAACCTTCAAGTAGTCAAAAGTTACCATTACGTTTATTGACCACAGAGATTTTTCTGATTTCTGCCCACTAATCTACTAATTTTATCCTATAACTTTTCTCCACATAACAAAGAAAAAAAATTTATATAGAAGTAAAAAAGAGGAAATTATTTAAAAATAATTTATCACAGTATTCCTTGAAATAGAAAATTCCCCTGGAATATTAGTCATTAAGCAACTTACAAAACGGTAATTTTCAAATAATTTTTCTGTGAAATGACTCTGTACATAAAATCATGAATAAAGAATCCTAGTGTCACCACATGCAAATAAAACCTTTCTATCAATAGCAGAATCTCTATTACAGTTATTTTTTAACTGAAAATTAAAATTTAATGGTAATATTTCACAATTACTTATTACATTAAGAAAAAGTTAAACATCAGGAAAAATACACACCAATAAAATACACTTTTACTATAAAAGTTTCAAATCTGGTAATATCACTATATATTATAGCACACAGCACTGCTGAACATCAGTAACTGCTTCATAAGGCAACAAAAGTCTGTACAATCAATTTAAGTGAAATGACATCTGTAGCACTTAACAGGTTTCTTCAAGCTGTTTATCAGGTTTTGGTATTCAAATCTTTTCATTTAAACAGCAACTTCTTAAACAGAATATCTATTTTAATTAAGAGTTCCAAAGAGCCCCTAATTTATTATAACTGTAAATGAGAATTTTTTCCCCCAGCTCTCTAACCTCCCATACCTTTCCACTGGAAAGGTAAACAATCATTACAGAATTGTATCACTATGAAGCAGGAAATACCAACCAAACAACTTTCTAAGCACAGAGATAGTTCCAAACTAGAAAAAAAATATGTAAGCAATGATTCTATAAATTACTGAATTTTTTAAAAATATTTTCATGAATGTACCTAATATATAACACTCAAATGTTTTATATGTGTTCCTCACGAGTTGTTTACAATTCTGAACTAAGTTAAATCATACTTTAAATGTCCTAAGGGCCCTAGGTGGTGCAAATGACTTGCACTCAATTGTAACCTAAAGATTGGCAGTTCTAATCCACCCAGTGGTACCCCAGAAGAAAAGCTCTAGTGATCTGCTTCTGTTAAGATTACAGCCAACAAAATCCTATGGGGCATTTCCACTTGCTAATACATGGGGTCGCCCTGAGCTGGAATCAACTTGCTGGCAAGTAACAACAATGGGCATCTTATGCAACTATATCAAACATCAAGCCTTTTAATAGGAGAATAATCACCATGTAGGATACGTATCATAAATCATGATATTTGTATGTGGGTTTCCCTTAAAGTAAGGTTAACCTGTGTTAAATGAAGTTATATATGGCCCACAGCCAAAGTCTTAAGCTGCCATAAGTAATTTAATTATGCATATAAGAACTTGATTTGTTAGGAAGAATGTACAATATAAAGTAAATAGGCCAAAACTATGGAAAGGGAGAAAGCCCAGAAAACAAGACATAAGTTCCCTTTTTATGCTTGCAGTAAAGCTGAAATATTATTTTAATGATGTAAAGAGACACTGTATGACCCTAATCCTAGATTCTGGGTATTACTGTCAACCTTACCAATAGCTATTGCAAGGAGGATTTAGTTATCTTCAGTAAAGAGAAAATGTCCTGATTCTGTCTCCCAAAAGACTTTTTAAAGTAATTTAGCTCAATTGAAAACTCAAACACTACCTGTCCTTCAAATGTATTATGATATAGTCATTTGAATCAAATCCCAGTATGATATATATTTACTATTAGAACCAGAAATGAGAATAGTAGTTAATCAGAATTAATCCAGTAATTCATCAAAAATAACCTCTGAGGGTCCTAGCCTGTGCAATCAGACAATAAAAACAAATAAGCACATAGACTAGAAAGAATTAAAAGTGTTTTAGTTGCAGTTGACCTGATTATGTGACAGAATATCCAAAGGAATCTACAAACTACTAAAATTAACCAGTGAGGTTGTGGAATTCAAAGTCAGTATACAAAAATCATCTGTATTTTTATCTACTAGCAGCAAACAACTGGAAAGTGAAATTTCAAAAATTCTTAACTAACATTAAAAAAAAAATCAAATACCTAGGAATAAACTTAATGACAGATAAGCAAGAACTCCACCTAAACAAACATTAAAATTTCAATGCTGAGAGAAATAAAAGGCATAATAGACATAATATGTTCATGGATTAGAAGATATAAGACTATTCAGATGTCAATTATCCCCAAAGTGGTCTATAAATTCAACACAATCCCAATTAAAATCCCACACGGCATTTTATAGAAACAACTGATAAGCTGATTCTAAAATTAATATGGTAATCTAAAGTCTTAAAATAGCTATGAATAAATAGTGATGAATAAATACACTACCTGATTTGAAGACTTACTATACATCTATAGTTAACTAAGGCAGTATAGGATTGGCATAAAGACAAACAAATATAACAATGAACAGAAAAGAACATCTAGAAATAGATTCACATTTGTAAGTTCACCTGATTTTACAACAGAGGTATAGATGCATTTCAGTGAAGGAAAGGATGGTCTTTTGAACAAATGGAAGAAAATAAAAAGATTATTTTTACAATCTTGGGCTAGACAAAGATTCCTCCGAAGGACAAAAAACCGCATTAACCATTAAATTAAAATTTGAGAACATGAATTCCAGCAAAATAAAATACTTACACTAATCAAACCACCACTCGTCTGTCACTTTGTCATACTGTGGTAGTTTGTGTGTTGCTGTGAGACTGGAGGCTATGCCAGTGGTATTTCAAATGCCAGCAGGGTTACCTGTGGTCGACAAGTTTCAGCAGCTTCTAGACCAAGACAGACTTGGGAGAAGGAAGGGGCCATCCACTACTCAAAGAATTGGCTAGTGAAAACCTTATGAATAGCAGTGAAACACTGTCAGGATATATTACTGGTAAGCTTTATGAAAAGCCCTGAAACACTGTCCAATACAGTGCTGGAGGATGAGCCCCTCAGGTTGGAAGGCGCTCAAAATATTACTGGGGAAGAGCTGCCTCCTCAGAGTGGAGCTGACCTTAATGATGTGGATGGAATAAAGCTTTCAGAACCTCCATTTGCTGATGTTGTATGACTCAAAATGAAAAGAAACAGCTGCAAACATCCAAAAATAATTAGGATAAACAAAAAGTTACCTACAAGGGACAACCAATAAGACTAAGCTCAGATTTCTCGAGAGAAACCATGCAGGTGAGAAAACAATGGGATAGTATATATAAAACACTGAAAAATTTCCAACCCAAAATTATATACCAGCAAAACTGTCCCTCAAATATGATGCTGAAATTAGGACATTTCCAGAGAAGCAGAAATCAAGGGAATTTGTTAAAACCAAACCAACCTTACAAGAGATGCTAAAGGGAGCCCCCTTTGGACAGAGAAGCAACAACAGCCAAAAACAAATGACCATTAACACACATGATGATATAACCTAGAAACCAACCCAGCTATGGAAATATCCAAAGTAAATAAGCCTACAAGATTGTAAACAGGGAACCAGAGACATCAATTGACAAATGAGGACAACTACAAACCAAAAAGAGGGAAAAAACTGTCATTACAGAACTTCCAGATGGTAAGGATGTCAAGACAGAACAGACTGTTCTAAACTTGGGAAGAAAACTATAAATCACAGGGTAACCTCAAAGAAAAATGAGCAGCATTAAAGAATAACGCAGAGTCTGCAAAACACCGCAAAATATGGATGAACCTGGAGGACATTATGCTGAGTGACATAAGTCAATCACAGAAGGACAAATATAGTGTTAGTTCATTGTTGTGGAGGGTCAAGGAAAGGTTTATATATGGAGGGAAACTTTCTTTGTTGGTTGCCAGGGGTGGAAGGGAAAGGGAGGGAATACTGAAAAAAAAAAAATGCATTGACCCATGTCACTTTAATTTTGTGTATTTCACTGTACATAAATTATTTCAATAAAATGCATT